TTCCCAAACTCCAAGATCCTCTTCACATGTATACCCATCTCAAATAAAATCTCGAAGAAAGCACAACAGAACCTCAGCACCCTCAACAACATGATGATGGAGTCCAGTATCAACAGCGCAACAATCTTACCACCCTACGAAGAAGAATTCGAAACAGTTGATAATCTTCATTGGTCTCCAGAAACAGCAAACAACATTTATTTGTTTTGGATACACCAGCTTCAAGCATCGAGTAAGTCTTTAAACTAATTACTGGGGATAAAAAGACTGAGAGGCCACCGCTAGGCCAAACTGTAGTTAACTTGAGCCGCAAAATTCTCACACCCCTTCAGCATTCAATCTTAGACCGTGGACTTAAGTTTATTCCCACACCAAAGATAGCTAACTTGGATTATCTCCGACCATCCATTGAACGATTTCAACGAAATCTTAGCTGCACATATTTTTTTCGAAACCACCCCCCACGTGGTGCTAGAACAATGTTTATTCCTAAATCCACGTGGACACCCCCTCAGGCCGCCATCCATCCTGAAATATTGAAAGCATTTGCTAGTATGAATAGCCAAACAGTGAACCTTTCCATAACACACGAAAAGCCTAATCTCACACGAGTGGAACGTGAAGCGTTAAACTTACTTAAGAAAGACGATAGCATTGTTATTAAAAAGAGTGACAAAGGTTCATGTTGTGTCATTCTGAATAGGGAGGATTACGTTTCAAAAGCAGAGAATCGACTGAATAATCCTAAACATTATGCCATTTTACCGAAACCAATTTTCAAAGAAACTGCTAACATGATTAATAATATTCTTGCCGATTCAGTCAAAACTAGTTATCTCAAACAGAAACAATATGACTATCTGTCTGCCAAACCTGATTGTCGCGAGAGACATTTGTACACTTTGCCTAAAATCCATAAGAATCCAACCAAGGAGTGGTTTATCTCGAATAAAATCCCTAAAGGCCGCCCGATTATATCTGACTGTGGTAGTGAGTCATATGCAGTGTCAGAATACATTGATCATTTCTTACTACCTCTAGCATGCCAACATCGCGCCTACCTTAAAGACACAACCGATTTTGTCAATAAAATAAAAAATCTTCGAGTTCCCTCTAATGCTATTTTAATTTCTATCGACGTTTCTTCTATGTATACCAATATCGATAACACTACTGGTTTAACGGCAGTTCGTAAAGCTTTTAATAGAAACCCAGATCCAAACAGACCCGACGATGCAATTCTACAGCTTTTAGAGATTTGTCTTAGTCGAAACGATTTCACATTTAATGGTAAAACATATCTACAAAC